AAATAAGATAAGATAAATAAAATGGATGAAAACTTGGGTTGCCTCCCAAGAAGCGCTCGTTTATGGTCTAGAGCTTGACCCTTTTTTGTACTTAATTATCCGACGAAGGGGGATCAGAAAGGGTATAAGTGACCCCTTTCTCGTGTTGTTCCCCTACAATGTAGTGCTTCAATCGTTGCCCATTCACCTTGAAAGATCCCGTTGTTTCACTCCAGACTTCAACAACTTCGTTGCCCATTCACCTTGAAAGATCCCGTTGTTTCACTCCAGACTTCAACAACTCCACTAGGAAAAACATCGCGGATTTGAAACGGTCCGGACCACCTAGACTTAAGCTTGCCCGGAAAAAGCTTCAAATGAGAGTTGAAAAGTAATACCATATCTCCTTGATTAAACTCTCTTTGAAGGATATTCTTATCGTTCCATCATTTAGTCTTTTCTTTATAAATGCGAGCATTCTCATAGGAATCTAATCGTAGCTCATCTAGCTCATGAAGTTGAAGCTTTCTTTTCTCACCTGCGGTCTTCATATCGAAATTGAGCAGTTTGATAGCCTAATACGCCTTATGCTCTAACTCAACTGGGAGATGACATGATTTGCCATATACCAATTTGAATGGTGTCATACCTATGGGTGTTTTGTAGGCAGTTCGATAGGCCTATAAGGCATCCGTGAGTTTCATAGACCAGTCCTTTCTCGAACGATTAACTGTTTTCTCCAAGATACTCTTGATTTCTCGATTCGAAACCTCCACTTGACCGCTAGTTTGAGGATGGTATGGCGTGACAACCTTATGAGTGACCCCATATTGTCTTAAGAGAGCTTCGAATTTTCTTTCAATGAAGTGTGAACCTCCATCACTGATTACCGTCCGTGGCACCCCAAATCTTGGAAAAATAACGTTCTTGAATAGTTTCACAACAACTTTAGCATCGTTAGTGGGGGATGCTATCGCTTCTACCCATTTGGAGACGCCCCCCCCCGCCACTAAGATGAACTTGTTGTTACACGATGACGGGAACGGTCCCATGAAATCTATCCCCCACACATCAAAGACCTTAATTTCCAAGATGGAGTGTAAAGGCATCTCATGTCGCTTCGAAATATTCCCGGTCCAATAGAAACCTGATTGTAAAACTTTTGCAGATGTCTTTGAAGTGCTTGCATGACCCCCGTAGGAAGATGAGTGGCAATGATGGAGAATACTGGCAACCTCATCTTCAGGAATACACCTTCTGAACATCCCATCAACACACCGTTTGTATAGAAACGGTTCATCCCAAAAATAATACTTCAAGTCAGCAAAGAACTTCTTCTTCTGTTGATAGCTCAGATCCGGAGGTAAGACTCCACACACTATGTAGTTGACGAAGTCTGCATACCATGGTGCATCCAATCTTTCTATGGCTAACAATTGATCATCTGGGAAAGATTCGTCGATCGGTAGTTCATCCTCCTCCCTATCATGTGATTCTGGTTTCATCCTCGACAAATGGTCTGCCACCAAATTTTCTGTCCCTTTCTTATCCTTTATCTCTAGGTCAAATTCTTGCAAAAGTAGTATCCATCGAATCAACCTAGGCTTGGCATCTTGCTTGCTCAAAAGATATTTGATGGCGGAATGATCGGTATAAACGATGACTTTGGAACCCACTAAGTAAGACCTGAACTTGTCAAAGGCGAAAACAACTGCTAATAGCTCCTTTTCAGTGGTAGCGTAGTTAACTTGGGCTTCATCAAGAGTGCGACTAGCATAATAAATTGCATGAACTATCTTGTTCTTCCTTTGGCCCAACACAGAACCAACCGCATAATCACTTGCATCAGTCATGACTTCAAATGGGAGATTCCAGTCCGGCGGTTGCATAATAGGGGCTGTTATCAATGCTTCTTTCAACCTGCAAAAAGAATCAAGACATTCATCAGTGAAATCAAAGGTAGCATCTTTAAGAAGAAGGTTAGTTAAGGGTTTTGAAATTTTTGAGAAATCTTTGATGAAACGCCGATAGAAACCGGCATGTCCCAAGAAACTTCTTACTCCCCTAACCGACGTTGGTGGAGGCAATTTTTCAATGACTTCCACTTTTGATCGATCAACCTCAATTCCACGCTCAGACACCTTGTGCCCTAAAACTATTCCATCCCTTACCATAAAGTGGCATTTCTTCCAGTTTAGGACTAAATTAACTTCTTCACAACGCTGCAAAACTCGAGACAAGTTAGATAAACAACCATCAAAAGTAGTTCCATACACGGAGAAGTCATCCATAAACATGTCCATAATATCCTCTATAAAATCAGAGAAAATGGCCATCATACATCGTTGAAAAGTGGCGGGGGCATGCAAAGACCAAAAGGCATGCACCTATAAGCAAAGGTCCCATAGGGACAGGTAAAAGTGGTCTTTTCCTGGTCACTAGGATGGATAGGAATTTGGAAAAATCCCGAATAGCCATCTAAATAACAAAAATAAGAATGCCTAGCCAACCTTTCCAACATCTGGTCTATAAAGGGAAGTGGAAAATGATCTTTTCGGGTTGCCTTGTTCAATTTCCTATAATCAATACACATCCTCCAACCCGTAACCGTCCTAGTAGGGATAAGTTCGTTATTTGCATTCTTAACTACGGTCACACCTCCCTTTTTAGGAACCACATGAACCGGGCTAACCCATTCACTATCAGAAATAGGATAGATTACCCCAGAATCTAGTAGCTTAAGCACTTCCTTTTTAACCACTTCTTTCATGTTAGGATTTAATCTACGTTGGTGTTCTATAGAGGGTTTATGATCATCTTCCAAGAGAATTCTATGCATGCAAATTGATGGATTAATTCCCTTAATGTCGTTCATGGTGTATCCTATGACCTTGCGATGCATCCTAAGTGTTCTAAGCAACTTATCAGTTTCATTTTCATTCAGACATGCATTCACAATCACAGGATAAGTAAAATCAGGGCCAAAAAATTCATACCTTAAAGAGGAAGGGAGGGGTTTTAATTCTACCTTTGGTGCATTATCCTCTTTACAAATAGAACATTTTGGCTCTAGCATCAATCTTTAAAGCTTTGCATTTCGAAGTGGAACAGTTGATGTTGATTCTAAAGATTGAGCATACGCAGTTACCTCGGGGTCTTCATCATTTATTGATCTGTCGTATACCAAACACTTCTCAAGTGGATCAGCTGAGTTATGGTTTGCAACTTGCTCATGGGTACACTTGTCAATGACGTCAACCCTGTAACAAATTTTATCACTTAGAGGGAGTTTCATAGTATTGCTTAAATCAAATTCTACCGTCTCCCCTCCAATATTTAGAGAGAGCCTTCCATTTTTAACATCGATTATAGCACCTGCAGTATCAAGGATGGGTCTTCCTAATATAATTGGAATGTTAGAATCTTCTTCTATTTCCAAAATAACAAAATCAACCGGGATAAAGAACTTACCGACCTGGATAGGTACATCTTCAAGTATACCTACCGGATATTTTACCGATCGATCCTCCAATTGGAGTGATATCGTGGTTGGCTTCAAATCACCTATGCCAAGCTTCTTACAAATAGACATCGGCATCAAACTTACGCTTGCACCTAAATCACACAAAGCACGGTTAATAGAGACATTACCAATAACACAAGGAATAGAAAATGAACCTGGATCCTTAAACTTAGGAGGCAGCTTATTCTGGATGATAGCACTACACTCCTTAGTAAGGGTCACAGTCTCGTATTCTTCCAACTTCCTTTTGTTAGATAGGATCTCTTTCAAGAACTTAGCATAAGAAGGTATTTGAGAAATAGCTTCAGTGAACGGGATATTGATGTGCAACTTTTTTAAAATCTCTAAAAATTTTCCGAACTGCTTTTCTAACTTAGCCTTAGCTAACCTTTGGGGAAAGGGTAGAGGAGGCTTGTAAGGAGCGGGGGCCACATATTTTTCAACTTTTTCTTCTTCTTGCGTTTGGGTCTCATTATCCACATCTATCACATTTTCATTTTTTTCTTCATGATGACCATCCACCCCATCATTTTCCTTCATCTTGGGTCCCTCATATTGTTTCCCACTTCTAAGAGTTATAGCATTCACATGACTCCTGAGGTTTGTCTCGGGTTGTCCAGGTAGCATGCCTGAAGGCCTAGAGGAAGAGCTAACATTTTGTGCCAATTGGGTGATTTGTGTCTCTAACATCTTGTTATGCGTAGCTAGGGAATCCATCTTAGAGGCCAATTGTTTTACCACCTCATTCGTGGTTTGTTGTTGCTGCTTAAACTCTTCATTCAATTTTGATTGAGTCGTCACAAACTTCTCCATCATATTTTCCAAATTTGACTTTTGAGAAGGAAAATTGGATTGAGGAGCAAGAAAACCAGGTGGACCAAAATTAGATGCAGGCATGGGATTTCCAGGTGGGTTTCTATAAGAAAAATTAGGAAGATTCCTCCACCCCGGATTATAAGTATTGGAGAATGGGTCTCCCTTCTGATTAAAGTTATTAACATAGTTAACTTGCTCATTACCAGAAGTATCAATGGTTGGGGGGTTTCCTAATTGACATTGAAGTGCAGAATGACCCACATAGCCACATATCTTACATGAAATTAAAGTAGATGCCACAGAATTAATACTCAAGCCTTCAACTTTCTTAAATAAAGCATCAACTTTAGAGGATATATGGTCTAAAGCATCTATTTCATACTTGCCTCCTTTTGATGTCTGAGGAGCACGCTCGTTCGCCCATTGATAGTGATTCTGAGCCATGTCTTCAATGAGAGTGTATGCCTCGTCTATTGTTTTGTTCATCAAAGCTCCTCCTGCAGCAGCATCAACAGTCATCCGTGTGTTGTAAGTGAGCCCGTTGTAGAAGGTGTGAACAATTAACCACTTCTCCAGTCCATGGTGAGGGCACATCCTCAATAATTCCTTGTAGCGTTCCCAAGCTTCATAAAGTGACTCTCCTTCCTTCTGTACAAAGCTTGTGATCTGGTTCCTCATCTGTGCTGTTTTACTTGGAGGAAAATACTTTGCAAGAAACGCTCTGGACAATTGATCCCAAGTGGTGATGGACCCAGCTGGCAATGAGTGCAACCAAGCCCTAGCCTTGTCCCTTAGAGAGAACGGAAATAATCTGAGTCGAATAGCATCATTGGTCACTCCATTAAGTTTCAAAGTGTCGCAATACTCCAAGAAAATCGATAGGTGGAGGTTCGGGTCTTCAGTAGCACCTCCTCCAAACTGATTCTGTTGAACCATTGAGAGCAGTGATGGTTTCAGCTCAAAGTTATTAGCTTCAACATTAGGCCTTGTAATGCTTGACTGTGTACCTTGAGCATTTGGGGCTGCGAAATCCTTAAGAAGCTGATTTTGATCTCCCATCGTAGCTTGTTCTGTGTTCCTTTGCTCCCTTATAGATCTTCTTATGTTTGCAAGAGTCACCGATAGTTCAGGATTGTTTTCGTCGTGTAATTCTGTTTGATGCCCTAGCATAAAAGAAAGTGAGAAGCAAAGAGAAATAAAAAAAATCTAGTCTAGCTTAATAACGTAAGCACTCAATATTAACACCGTAGTCCCCGGCAACGGCGCTAAAAAAAACTTGATGGGCAAAATCCGCAAGCGCACGGACTCGTTGTAGCTATCAAGGTCGATCCCACAAGGACTAGGGGTTATCTACCAAGTTCACGTTATTCGACTAGCTAAATCTAATGAGTGAATTAGAAGAGATAGCTAATCGGATGGAATTCAATATAATGAAGGACTAGGATTGGGTTATCACCACAACTTAGGTGTTCAATGATGAATTATTTCAATTCTTGGTGTTGGTTTAATCTAGAAATGGTGAATTAGCCTAAATTAATCTAAAGCCTCTCTCAAGGTCTAAAGATCATGCCTAATTAATCTCAATTAACCTACTTTCGTGGAATTAAGATTAAGTTAAACCCATTAAGCTTTATGCTAACCCAAATCAAATCCCCAAGGAATCTAGCCTACTTTCATGGTTCGAGCTCCCTGTTTAATTTCTAGAGATCCAGTATTAATCTTCACCTTTCAGTCCTTCAATTAATTACCTATGATTGCTAATACGGTGATCAAGCGAATCAACAAAATTAAAACACTAGAAATTAAGTTCAAAGATTTAAACTTTCACCAAGAACCTATATCAATTCATCATCAATCACCAAAAAGTTGGGTTCTTTCTCAATCCTAGACAAGAAATCTACTCACACATGATTGGAATAAGAGAAGACATCAAATAATTATGCAAATCAATCATAAGAAGAAATAAATCAAAGAGAGGAAAGAATTAACCCGTCTTTCAATTGAAATCTTCAAAATAAGAACTTGCAATCCAATCTTCTACAAGAGATTAATGTCTTCCTTCAATACTTGAACCCTAGAATAGTTGCTAGTTGATGGCTAAAAGAACATATCAAAAGATATATATCCAAAACCCTAAGTCAAAACATCTATTTATATGTCCCCAAAAATCTGGAAAATAACTAATTCCCGCGCCACCGGTGTGGTCTGCACCACACCAGGGTGTGGTAGGGGCTGTTTTGCTGATTTCGTGCTTGTCTGTACAATCTTCGGTATTTTGGCTATAACTTTTGCGTCCGACCTCGGAATAAGGTGATTTAAGTTGCATTGGAATCCTGTTGAAGAGATCTACAACTTTTATCTTTTGAGTTGTTCTTGATTCAAATTTCATCATGATCGAAATTCCAGTTCTTCATACTCGTGCATCCATTTTCTTCACGAACCATGCCTTCAAAATCTTGTTGTTGCTTCAAACTCTTGTAAAACATCCAACGATCATCAAATCTTTCAATCTTGAGCCAATACTTACATATAAGAACACAAACAACAGCAGTATCCTCGATCTAAACACGAAATATGCATCAAACGCTCGTAAATCATGCTTGAAACACACTAAGATAATGCATATTTTACGTGTTTATCATAAAGCTACTATTAACAATACAAGATGAAACTACCATTAACAGATGTTTTGCACACGAAAATCAAAATCTCAGTTATTAATTCCAAGAATAATTTCCTTTAAAATTATCTCTCAATATAAAAATTCTAAAATAATCTTCTTAAAATATATTTTATTATTATTTATGAACATTAATACTTTTTAATTTTATATATGATTTCTATGATATTTTATAAAATAATCTAAAATACTCTTTTTCTCAAAATAAAATTCTTTCTAAATATTATAAATTCTCTAAAATGATTCTGTTGTCAAAATAATTTCTTTCACTTCATTACCATTATTCCGAAACCTATTTATCACAGAACTATGATTTAAATCAATCCTATTCAACAAACAACCCACGCAGATAAATGTCACAAATAAATTGTGCAAATAATTTATAACAGGTATATAAAATTCAGATCTGAGCAAGAGGGATCTTGCCTCGGGATATTGCCGAACGATTTGACTATGTCGGTGCGATGTGGATTTGATCTGAGCGCGGCGTCCGACGGTGAATCTTAAGGCGGTGCAGGTTGTCAACGAGATGGTTGTAGTGGAGCTCGACGGCGACGCTGGAGGCGATCGTGGGGAGGGCTACTGCAGGGGGTCGGACAGCGGCGTCAGGGAGAGCACCGGAGGACAACAGCGTGGGCTCGACGTGGGGCTGCGGGCAAGGAGGAGGTTGGGCGTGAGGACTGCGGGTTAAGGGGGTGACGGAGTTCGGCG